TGCACATGGTGGATCTTCACATTCCAATTATTCTGTATCATGTTTCGAATGGCCCTTACTATCGCTGAGTGCGTCCCAAAATCGTCTTCAGTGCCGCAGACCATGTTTGTCACACATTTACTGTCCACTTCTGCTATGACCTGACGAAGCCCCAATTCCCAAGCCAAGTGTAGTCCTTGTAAGAGTCCCCAAAGCTCGGCTCCCGTGATAGTGCAAAACCATATATTCATATAAAACCCTTCTATCCATCGGCCGACTTCATCCCTAATAAGGCCGCCCGCGTAGCCCATTCCAGTGGATTTGCTAAACGCACCGTCTGTATTGACTTTAAACCATCCTTGATCAGGCGGCCTCCATTGTATGCTACGCGTAGTGTATACGCTAGCCCCTACCTTCGAATAGGCCGCGATTGCCTGAGTATAGTTCTCCACCATCCGGAGCACCTCCGTCTGTCTAGAAGCGCAGCTCAAGGTGCGCTGGTTAAAGACTCGCTTCTCCATGTCCATGCTCTCCATACAGCAAAGGCAAAGATGCTGCCCCAATCTTCCATCATCCCTAACCTGGCTTTGCTCAAGTTTGTACTAACCCATTCCTTGAACGGCTGCTCGAAAAACTCATGCACCTGGTCCGCCTGGATCAACCTACACCACACTTCCTTGGTTGACGGGACTCTCCAATGCCATTAATTTATTCCACTTAACTTTCTAATACAAAAAAGTTACATAAATCCATTAAAATATCACATCAATCTCCAACTACCAACTTTTCCTAATTTTTTTTATTAATTTCCTTTCTCGTTTCTTCCACACAATTTTTTAATATATTATCTTGTCACATCTTCCATACTTCTTCCTCTCTCTAGTCAACCCTTCCTCTTCTTCCCATTGTTTTTTCTTTTTCTTTTTTTTTTGGCAGGTTCTCTTACAACCAATATTCTGAAAACCGGACCAGTCATCGAACCGATTAAGCTACTGGTTCAATGGTTCACTGGTCGGACCAGTGGTCGAACCGGTTTAATTAATATATAATTTTTTATTTATTTTATATGTATAATATATAATTATATATTTTTATCATTAATTTTTTAATGTATAATGACATTTCTCTAAATAAGTGTTCAATAATTAATATCATATTTGTAGTTTACCATAGGTTTGTAATTTGTATTTTAATTTTTTAATTTGAATTTTATTTTTATTTTTAGTTTTCATTATGTAAAGAATAAAAATCAAAAATCAATTTTTAGCTTTGATTTTGATTAAAATTAAAACAAAAAAATCATGAGTTTCATTGGATTGTGCATTTACAATGACAAAATTGAGTAAACAAACAATGACTCAATGACAACAATAAGTAATAAAAAATAATGCTAGTGGCAAGAATCGAACACGGCACCTTGTACAATCCAAACACCGACCTTGCCACTGCACCACACGCACAATGTCGTTATGCATTAGACAGAGACTTTTATTATTTGTCAAAAAACGTCTAAAATTGAAAACCGCTGAACCGGTACCGGTTTACCGGTTTTTGACCGGTTCGAGCGGTTCTTGACCGTCTTTTGTCCAGCGGTTTAATATGCCAAACCAGACAGGTGTTCCGACCGGTTCCCGGTCCAACTGGTTGAACCGGCCGGTCCGGTCCGATTTTCAGAACAATGCTTACAACAAAAAGAACTCTGTCTGACAAGAAGAATTCTGGCAACAGACGATCGAGAAGACATCGATGAAAGACGGGTGACACTCTCTAGCGAAATTTCAATTTTTTTTCGGCAAGCTCCTAACTCGCCCTTTTCTGGCGAAAAACGTGGTTGTTCTATATGTACTTAATGAGGAGTCTAACTCGTTTTTTACTCATCATTTTTTCCCTAAAATCTTGTTCGTCATATTTTGCTAAGGAACCAACTTTGAATATTGTTCTATATTCACTCTAAAACAAAGAAAGTGGCAATAATCTCTTTGTTGTTGTTCATATCTATCAACTATTTATGTTAGGTTATGTTTTTTTTCTCATAGATGATCATTATACAACTGATGCATGCCTATGGTACCTTTGTTTGAGTAGTACAATACATTTGTCATCAGTATTTGCTACTCGTTTATCCTGGAAACTTTGAAGTTTCATTTTATCCAACTCATTTGAAATATTATTAGATATAATAAAAGGGGCACAAATTGAGTTATTGGGGAGTTGTTCCTATAATAATGGAATGTATGTCTTCTCTATACACGTCGGATTGAGTAGTGAAGAAATATACACCCTTATTGGTAAGAGGTAGATGGATGTAAATTCGCAACCTTTCATCTTATGCTACATTGCGCCCCATGAAAAAAAGCAATTTGGTTTGTCTGATGATGACAATGTGAAGAACACATTTCGGTTGCATGTGTGCTGGAAAGTAAGCATTGTAGATATGGTTGCCGTTGAAAAAAATGAAAGACTGGATAATGGAGTCCAATTCAAAAAGTCTGTACTATTACTAATATACAAGTACAACGGTGATACAAAACTGGTACTTTTCTATTGCAATATAGGTAGCAATTTTGTGAACTCATTAAAACTAGTGTATGAGCGATTTTGAGTAATAAAAACATTATTTAAGATAAAAAAATAGTATTTTCTAAGTTCATTAGTACTGGTACTGAAGACCCAAAAATAGGTACACATTGAATATAAAATGAGTACCGTCAGCACTATTGTGTCGGTATAAATCTCATTAACGTTGACCAAGATTAATGTAATCCATGTTCTTTGACCAAAGTCGGTACTAAATGCTAGATATCAGGTACTATCATACAATATACCCGGTATCATTTTTAAGACAAACAAGTATCAGTTCACTAATAATAATTTCTTTAATATGTCATGTCTACCATGTCATATGGATCTTTCACGCATGAAGTGGTTGAAAAATACACGAACATACAATAAATAGGTGGAATTAGACTAGTCAAGTTTGATTATTCAATGAGACGACGTGTTTAGTACTATTTGTTCATTAGTGTATTGAGTTTATGATTACTTGCCGGGGATACTTAATGACACACATTCATAAACTCATTAAGATTAATTTGAATAATAACAATATTATTTAAGATCGGAATTTAGTATTTTCTTAAGTTCATTAGAATTAGTACTGAAGACATAAGAGTATGTACTCACTGAATATAGATTGAGTACCATTACGCTATTGAGTCCGTATAAATCTTATAAGCGTTGACCAAAATCAAAGTAACTCATTTTCATTGACCAAAGTCGGTGCAAATTTATTTGTATCAGGTACTATATGTATTACAATGTACATGATATCATGTTTAAGACAAACAAGTACCATTTTGTTAATTGTGATTTTTTTAGTCATTCATGTCTACCATGTCATATGGATCGTTCATGCATGAAATGGTTGAAAAATAAACGAATCTAAAACATATTCGTAAAATTTAAACTAGTCATGTTTGATCATTTAATGAGATGAAGGATTTTAGTAATGTTTGTTCATTAGTGTGTTGAGTTCATGACTACTTGTCGGGGATACTTAATAACACATGTTCATAAACTCAGTAAAACTAGTGTATGAGTGGTTTTGAGTAATAAAAACATTATTCAAGACCGGAATTTAGTATTTTTTAAGTTCATTGGATTTAGTACTGAAAACCCAAATGTAGGCACTCAGTGAATATAGAATGAGTATTGTTACACTATTGAGTCGGTATAGATTTCATCAATCTTGACCAAAATTAAAGTAATCCATTTTCTTTGATCAAAGTTGGTACCAATTTCTTTGTATCAGATACTATAGTACAATGTACATGGTATCATGTTTAAGAAAAACTAGTACCATACTAATCGTGATTTCTTTAGTCATTCATGTCTGCAATGTCACATTGATCGTTCACATATGAAATGGTTGAAAAATAAACGAATCTACAACATATAGGTTGTATTTAGGCTGGTCATGTTTGATCATTTAATGAGATGAAGTGTTTTAGTAACGGTTGTTCATTAGTTTGTTGAATTCATGACTAGTTTTCGGGAATAGTTAATTACACATATTCATAAACTCATTCAAACTAGTGTACGAGGGATTTTGAGTAATACATATATTATTTAAGACCAGAATTTAGTATTTTTTTAAGCTCATTAGAGTTAGTATTGAAGACCCAAAAGTAGGTACTCACTGAATATAGAATAAGTATCGTTACGCTATTGAGTAGGTATAAATCTCATAAATATTGACCAAAATTAAAGTAAGTAATCCATTTTCTTTGACGAAAGTCGGTACTAATTGATTGTATCAGATACTATATTACAATGTACATGGTATCATGTTCAACATATATAGGTACAAGATCACAAAACAAAATTTCCTTATATCTTTCACATAATTTGTTTTTCTTTCTACAAAATAGTTACTAAATATGAGAAAATTAGTACTATTAGGACACATTATTAGTGTTTACATGATGAAAAACCAGTATCAGTTACAAAACATAAATTCATTTTTACAAAGATCCTGTGGACTTGTACTTGGGCAATCATGAATCACGACTGTGAATCCATGTCGAGACCGCCATAACTATATGGCTCGAACTATTCTTACTGGAAATCGCTAATCACTATCTTATTGCATCCCGTGGAAAAAGGAGCATGGGAAAACATGGAGAATAGCTGAAAACCTCCGGCGATGTAAAACTCAAAGAGCATATGTTAAAGTAAAAAAACAGATAAAAAAGAACAATAAAACCGAAAATGGCATTGCATAAAAACATATGACAAAATCCATGCAACCTTATAAAATCCATCGCATATACTGATCAGTAGTTTGTGATGCTAATATTTACAGTGAGCAAGACTGTACAACACAACATAGAATGAAAATCGAACTATAGCCAAACAAACATCAAATTATCAAAACTCAAGTACACACAATACGTGTTGTTGCAGGTGGCAACTCCTCTAAATCCAGGTATCATATCATCCAATCCAGGATCATTTTCCCCCTAATTCCCACTAGAATTAAGCCCAAAATTCCCTGAATCAATAGGATTTTCCATCTTTGAATTTAACCCTAGCAAATCATTAAAACCATAGTAATATGCAGAATACCTATTATTCAAGTTGGTAAACACGGATTCCAAATCGAACCCACCATACTGGCTCGCCTTCATGAGGGTCCCACAAAAAATATTATCGTCAACGAAGGCATTCTGCGATTGCGTAGCTTTACTGATATTAACACCGAATCAGAAAATTCCATTGATCTCGTCAACGGGTAAGGAATATGGATCGGTGTACGAAAGAGCCATTGCAGTGGAGTTGCACGGGAGATAGGATTTGGGTTTGGGCTTTCAATTTGGCCACGAGAGCTGATTTTCCATGGGCTCTAAACCCAATGCTCTCAACCAAGACACCAAATTCATCCATTGATGTTCGATATCAAAATGCAGCTATAGAACACTATTGGAAACAATATCCAATTTTATTTTTTTTAAAAAAAAAGAAACATATGAAAGTAAAAATTAGTGAGATTGCAATTAAGGATAAAACAGTGAGATCCAAAACCAATTACGCGCAAACTCAGAAGTAGATGCAAGAGTTCATAATGTGGCCCTAGAGATGGTCACTGGTCAACCCGGCCCGGATATGCCGGTTCATGACCCGAACCCTTAGCCCTGTCGAGCCAGTCTCGGGTCGATTTTTTTGCTTTTTTGACCCACCGGACCGGGTGGGGTCTGGGTCTTCCGACGGGTTGTAGTTGTTTTTTTTAATTTTTCTATTATTTTTTTTCTAACCGGCGGCTCGCCGGGTAGGGCCGGTTCATTTGAACTGGCCCTTAGGTATAGCCGGGCCGTTTTGGGCCCAACATTTGAGGCCCGCTAACCCGGCGGGCTGGGCCAGGCCGTGAACCGGCCTGGCAGTTGAACACGTCTATATGGCCCCTAACATGATCAATTACGCGCAAGCCATTCACCGACACCCAACCCAGAACTTCGAACATAT